GCAGCGGCAGGGGGCGTAACGATAGGCTCGATCCCACGCGGGACCGTGCCCTGCCCTCGGCGCTGCCACGGCATGTGCGTGATCGCCGCCGCGGCGGCGCGGTTGAACCTCCGCTCTTCGGGCAGCCTCTTGACGGTCCTCGTCGTGACTAGCTCACCCGTCTCGAGAGCGCATATGTGCTCGTCGGTGTCATAGCTCTTTCCCAGCCGCGCCGCCCTCGCGAAACCCATGTCACCCTTGTGGTACACCTTGCCTCTCGCCCTGCGATTCTTGTCCCTGGGTAGGCGCGCCAAGGTGGACTCTCCTGGAATGGCCATCCCCCTGGCGTGGGCGTGGCCGTAGAGGTCCTCGTGCGCCGTGCGACCGCTCGCCTTGATCCTCAGGTTGGTGCATGCCCAGCCCGCGTGGCGCTGTAACCACTTGCACATGGCCGTGCCTGGTCGGACCCTGGCACCCAGTCGTGCCTCCAGCGCGCGCCTGCTCGCGCGGAACTGCGCATGGATGATGCCATTGGCATGCTCGGAGGGGTTCGACTGGGAGCTGAACGTAGGCGCGGGTCTCACGACCACACCTTGGGCAGCTCCGCCTCGACCTTGTTGGCCGGGTCGATCATGACGTCCTCGTGGTCTGGCCTTAGGATGACCTTCCGATGGAAAAGCTCCGGATGAACGCCACCGTGGCTGCTACCGTGTAGGGGTCAGCGCGTCGGTCAGGCTTCGGGACGCTCCGCGTGGCACCCGTGTCGGCATCCGCGACCAGTACCACTTCCTCGTCCTGTCTCTGGCCATCCTCGGCGCGGGGGCCCGCCACGTCGGCGTCGGCCGCCTCGCCCTTGAAGAATGCCAAGTCAAGCCCGATCACGGGGAGGCGTTCCATCTCCGCGCCTAGCAACTCGTGGGGCCCGTCACGACCGCGCCCCATCTGGCAGTGCTTACACCAGCGCCGCGGTGGGCAGTGCTGGTTCTCCTCGTGGCGCTGTCTCTCCTCTGGCGTCGGCTCGCGGACGTCGGGGAACGCGGTCGGTTCCACCGCCTGTCCTGACTCCGCCTGGCGCCTCATTTCCTCTCGCCTCAGCTCGCGGAAATCATCCGTCGCCGCTCTCGCCTTGCGTCTGCCCTCGTACTCGACGAGCCGTGCCCAGCACTGAGCCTTGGCCCCGTAGTACAGGGCGTAGATCTCCTTGAGGCGCTTCCGCATGGCGACGATCCTCGAGCTTGGTCCAAGCCCCTCGAGGCACGACCTCCCCGTCGTCTGTGCCGCCGCGGGCGCCTCCTGGCCCTGCGCGGGCGCCGCCGCCTCCTGCGCCCATGGTGGCGCCGCCGCCGCCTGCGCCAGTGGTGCCGCGGCCCCTGCCTCCGGTGGTGCTGGGCCACGCGGCCCTCGAACTTCCGGGTGCGGCGGGGGGCCCTCTCCTCGCACCGTCTCCCGCGGAGCTCCTGTGGCGCCAGTTGCGGCGACCCTGGCTGGGCAGGCTGCGAGCTTGGCCTCGCCCGTCGCGTCGTGGATCTGCGCAGCGAAATAGAACGCATTGCCGGCTAGCTTTGGGTCCACCCGCTCGCCCGTCTCGAGGTTCACGGCTCGCGGGTCGCTCTCCTCGAAGACAAACCTGAACTGCTTGCGCGCCGGCTTCCCGAAGCTGAGCGCCGCGCCCTGAGGGGCGAGGCCGTTGCTCACTCCGAGGTCCCCCAAGCGTGGCTGGCGACCCTTCTCGCCGCCGACGACCGCCGGGATCCTGCGGGGCCCCTCGGTGCCAAGCCTCTGGCCGCTCACCGCGGTGAGCTTGGGCGCAGCGGGGTCGTCCTGGACCGTTGGACGTTGCGCTCCGAACGCCTGGCCGCAGAGGTGCTCGTCGCTGCCACTGTCTGCGAGGATGGGCCCTCTGCGCTCCTCCCTGCGGCAGCCTCCGACCGAGCTCCTGGCTCCAAAGACCCAACCGACCTCGTCGCCGTCGGAGCCTGCAGCCACCGCGCTCACGGTTCTCTGGCCCCCAGCGCCCGCAGGGGCCTGCTGGGCCGCGGCCGCCTTCGGGGGCGCTGCCGACGGCGCCCGTGGCTTGCCAGCCGCCTTGTGCCAGCAGTCCTTCTCCTTGTGCCCATGCTTCTGGCGCCAGTTGCAGGTTCCCTCGAACTCGGCGGGGTAGCTGCCCTTGAGCTTGTCATTATTGACTCCCTTCTTGCTGCCTTTTCCGCCCTTGTCGCCCTTGCTGCCCATCTTGTCACCCTTGCCGCCCCCCGACTTCTCGCCCTTTCGCTTGGGCCAAGGCTGTTGTGGCAGGGCGTGGCCCGAGATCGCGCCGATCTCCATCGGTGCCACGCCTTGGCCCACCGTGCCGCTAGCTGTGAAGACCTGCCCAGACGCCATCCACTCTCTCAGGCGGGTCCTCAGCGCCGCGTGCGGGACCTTGGCGGCCGTCGGAGCATTGCGTAGCACGGTCTTGCACGGCTCGGGGCTATGGACGAGCAGCGTGGCGATGCGAAACTCATCGCCGAAGTCCTTCCCCGCCTGCGTGACGTACCTCGCCACATCGTTGCCCCAGTCAACGAGCTGGTCAGCGAATGGCTTCTGGTCGCCCCGCCGGGGTATGAGCAGGCCGCTGAGCATGGCCGCGAACCGGTTGCCCACCCCAGGCTCGTACTCGTTCTTGATCGCCCGCCAGGCAACGAAGCCCTCGTGCCTGCCTGCGAGCGTAACCATCACCAGCGCCTTGCGCTGGGTCTTGGTGAGCAGCATGGCATGCAGCAGCTTGCTCGTCGCTGCCGCGCGCTCGCCCATGCTGACGTCGTCCACTGCGAGCGCTGGCTGGGCCTCAACGTTGTCGACGAGGTCGTCTCAGCCCATCGGACCAGCTGGGAAAGTCCTCATCTCTGCCACTGCAATCCACCAGCTTGATCTCGCCTCTGCAATCCACCAGCTGCTCTCTGGGCGCCGCTGCCGCGGGCAACGCGCGTCCCCATGCTTCCGTGGATCTGATCCGCGTAGTTCACCACAGAACCACGCTCCCCGCTACCGTGGCGGAAGTTACGCGGATGCGTCGAGAAAGCGAATCTTGGGGCTTGTTTTCGCATCGGCCACCACCGAGGCCTTCGTTTCCTGCTTTGGTTTGGCTTTGTTGGCGCCTGCTGTCTTCGCGCTGGCCTCGGCCGCCCCTGCGCCAACAGCTGGGCCTGGAGCTGGCTGAAGCTGATTGGGTTGCGGCCCCTGGGGAGGCACCTGATGTTGTCCTGCTCCTCTTGTGTGTTTTCGGCAGTTTCCTTGAGTTCACCACAGCATGCTTTAGTGGCCTGCGCAAGCTGGGATAGAAAAACATCCTTCCGATGTCGGGGATCAAACTTGTCAGCTTCCGTGACAACGCCGTCAATTTCATCAAATCTAAACAGCCCCTCATCATCAATAACGGTTTCCTGCCCATCCAGGAAGGCCACCAAGTCAATTTCGGTGTGGAATTCGCCTGACTGGTGGAACCGTCCAGTGTCGAGGCAAGTAGTCAAACCGCTGACTGGTACACGGCACGTGCCATGCCCACCTCTGCTGAGCATGACGCGACTTCCTCTTGCGCCTCTGGTTGTTGCTGCCTGAGCCTCTCGCACCTTTAAAGCGGCTTGCGGAGGGCTGTTTCTGCACGAGGTAATGTATGATTGGTACCCGACAGACATGGTCGCTTCCTGCTGCTGTCGCTTAAGGTCCTCGAGCTGCTGTTTGTACATGCTGACTGCATCATCGTCGCCCGCTTCTGCAAGCAAGACGACAAGGGCTGTGAGGCGCTGCTCCTCTGTTGGTGCGTCAACCTCTGCGCGGTCGCCTCGTTATTCGCCAGGGGCGTTGCCAGCTTCAAAGGCGATGCTGGGCGACCTCCTCTTGGCACTCCTCATGCTGGGCCTCCGCTGGCCCTGATTTTGACGCCACGGCCGCCACTGAACGTCAGGAGCAAGTGGCCGAACCCTGCTAGGAGCCCCGCGACCCATTCCAGTTGAAATCGTCGGCCGTGGCCCGCGGCAGTGCTTCCACCATCTCTACCATGACAAATTCTCGGCACAACCGCAATCTGTGCACTTGATGTAGTGCCTCGCGCTCGAACCATTGGTGATCAGCGGCGAGCTTCTGTGCGCTCTGCGGTGGCCCTGGAAGAGTCTCGTTGCCGATCCAAGGCGCGCAGAGACCTTCGCTGACGCACGCTCGCGTCGGGCACGGCAGTGCCAGGCGGGCTCGGGGGAACGAGTCTGGCAGGCAAACGTGGTGACTAGCAGAACGCACCACGGCAATGAAACGGATGTGGGCTGGCGTACACGTCGTTCATTTCTAATCGTGCTCATCTCTAATCGTGCTTGTTTCTAACTGTTCCTGGCCCCCTAGTGGCCAGGAAGAGGCCCCAGGAGAAACCACTTAGGAATGAAAGGGTCTTGGCCCCCCAAACAAACCAAAGAACTTTCGAACAACTAGAAATGAACAACGTGAACGGAACCGACCACACGTGAGGTCAGCAGCTCCTGCGGGCCCCCGCAAGCCCTCTCGCGCCCAGACCTTCATCAGATCGGGGCCCTCCGCGCGCGCCCGGCCCCCTCACGCATCCGCCGTCGGCTCCCCCCAGAGGTCTGGGCCCATCCACGGTGGAGCAAGCCTTCACACCGAGCCCTTTTCTGACCGTCCCGGGGCCCTGCATGGGGCCCCCGAGAGCAGGAAAGCACGACACGACCCACGTCGCCACTATATCTGAGCAGGGCGAGTTGCGACGCGGCAGCTCGCAGTCCCTCCGTGGGACTTAACGCATTCGATTTTCCGAGCCGAGCTGCGTCCAGCCGTGTCCTGGCCATCGCTTGGACGTCCATTCCCTGTGTTTTGTTCGCTTTCGTGCGTGGTCTTTTCGCCAAATGATCAAGGATGCTCCTCGATGGTCCTCGCCGAAAGAAAAATACACACGTCCGAGCGATGCCACGTGACGAAGAGGAGGCCCCGTGGAGGCCAACTACCGTTGTCGCAACTCGCCCTCCTCCGTCTCGGGGGTCCTCCGTCACGTCCAGGATCTCCTCGCGCAGGGGCTCGGCCACCTCCGCCTCCCAGGCCTCCCTGGCCTTCTCCAGCATCGCGTCGATCTCGTTCTGGCCTCCGCGCTCCCTCCTCCTCCTCCTCCTCCTCCTCCTCATTATCTTCTTCTTGTTCCTCCTCACGTTACCCCTCTTGATCTTCCTCCTCCTGTTCCTTTCCTGCTCATCTTGCTACTTCACGTCTTCCTCATCCTCGTCCTCATGTATTTACCATCCTTCTTTCCTTCGTCGCCGTCGTCCTCCTGCTCCACATCCCCCTCATCATACTGACAATCGTCATAATCACCACTACCATCACTATCATCATCACCACCATCATCATCACCATCATCAACAACATCAGCATCAACACCACCGTCTTCATCACCATCATCACTATCATCATCATAATCACCATCATCACCATCACCAACACCATCACCATTACCATCCTCATTATCATCCTGATCAACATCATCATCATCATCATCATCATCATCATCATCATCATCATCATCACCAACAACATCATCGTCATCATCACCATCATCATCATCGTCATCATCATCGTCATCATCAACGTCATGGTCATGGTCATGGTCATCGCCATCGTCGTCGGAGTTGTCGTCGTCTGTGTTTTCGTCGCCAACATCACCATTACCATCACCATCACCACCACCATCACCATCACCAGCATCAGCATCATCATCAGCATCATCCTCGTCGTCGTCATCATCATCATCACCATCACCGCGCGCTCGTTTCAACATGCGTACTGCCTACTGTTGGTGGAGGCCGCGCTGGCGGTGGGAGCGTGAGGCGGGCAAGCGGGGATTCGTCGTGAGACAAAACGCCATCACCCACATAACTAGCCTGTCAATCATCATCACCATTGGTACCACATATAAGTAGGACCAATGGGTGGGGAAAAGGGGGAGATGGAGCAGTACGCGTGTGACTTGAGTCGGAGTATCAGGAGTAACAGGCAGGACCATAGTTAGGAAGGGGGGCGTTGGGAGACCTGGGGGCTGGGGTAGGAAGGTTTGTCAGGTCGGCCGGATCTCATTTTACTCCTCTTCCTCCTCCTCCCGCCCCGTCGTCATCTGGGCCCCCCGCTGTAGATCTTGCGGTCGCTGTCCCTCCCCAGGAGCAGGTTGGCCCCGTACACGACATTGTCCTCTTGTGTCGCTTCGCAGGAGGGAGAGGAGGAACGGGATCAACAAGAGGAGACAGAGGGGGAGGAGGAGCGGGAGAAAAAATAGGAGGATGGGGAAGTCGGGGTGCCAGGGGCATGGCGGAGAAAGGGGATGAGGAACTGGAGGAGGGGAAGGGGGGAAGATCTTCGGATGTCATGGAGGCTCGCGGGGGGGATTACCGAGGTACGGGAGAAGTTGAGATTGAGGGCGATGGGCAAGCGGGAATCTCAATAACGCGCCCCCTGTCCAACTCTCCCTCTCTTCTCCCTCGTCCCTCATACCATCTCGCGCCATCTCTTCCCTCATGTGCTGCATCATCATTATTACCATCACCACTCATATTGATCATCCTCATTACCACCGTGATCCACTTCATCCTGCTCCTTGCCCAGAGCAGGCTCCTGGACATGCTCCTGTTGCTATTCCTCATCTCGTAACTGCTCCTCATCAATACCCCTCTTATGATATTACTCATGCCCCTGCTCGCCATCTGACACCTCATTCTCGGCATCAAAAACCGTCAACAACACCATCAACGCCATCATTGTTGTCATCCTCCTGTTGCTGGTGCTGTTAGTCCCCTCCGCATAGTCACCCTGCTCCCTCTTCTGATGTTTCGCCGGGTCATATTGCTACTACAATGGGAACTCGGCCACAAGGGTAAGAAACCGTCCACGAGAAACCAAACCCTGAGACCCTAGGGCGCCCATAGATGTTTGGTGGGAACGTCACGCTTTCCGTTGCAAAACCATCGAAACCCAAGCAACCCAGGGCACCCTGGAGGCAAACAGGGTGTTTTTTGGCATGGGTTTCCATTGTAATCTGCCTCTTCCGAATACCCCCTGCCCCCTCTCCAGACCTGATCCCCATCCTCCCCCTCATTCCTGCCTTCGTCAACCACTGTATCCCCCCCCTTCCCCCTCCTGTCCTCCCACCGCCTTCCCTGACTGCCCTTCATCCCTCCTTAACCCCCCCTTTCCCCGTTCCACTGCCACCGCCGCACAAACTCTCTGGAACTCCACCTAAGGCTCGCTCCAGTGGCGCAGTCAACATGCGTCTTCCCCACCCAGTGCGAAGTTTCGTGGCCCTACAGTGGAGCTCCACCGAAGACGATATCTACAGCTGCGGTATTCACAACTGCGTATGGTTGGATCCTTCGCCAGGCGAGCTTCTTATCCTTCTTCTTCGATCTTCGAACGACGCTCAAATCAATCTCAACTCGGGCGGCGCACGGCCCGAAGAGGTGTGTCGCCTGCGGCTCCGCCGCGGCGTACCTCTCCGTGGCGCCCGCCCTCGCGTGTGGCCCCGAGGAGCGAGGAATGGATGGTTGGCATATTCGCCGCGCTGACATGCGGGCAAGCCGCTGCGTCTCTTGACTCGGACGGACTCGGCAAGATTAAACCAAGGGTGCACGAAAGCCGATGCCGAACTGACCATCCCAGGAACTACGACACAATATAGGGTTCCGTCCCGCCTCCAACGCGGAAGCAATTATTCACTGCGTGGAGCTCCCCATATGTGCATCTATTAGCATAGACCTGTCCGCCGCGTGTGTGTGTGTGTGTGTGTGCGTGTGTATCCGCAAGAGTTTTGGAATCAGCACTGGCTTGCATATTGACGGTCTGGGAGTGAACGTGAACTGTGCACGCATCGGGAAGTGGGATGTAACTGAGATTCAGCAGCATTCGTGCGCCTCTGCGCATGAGCCTGGGGCCAACTGGGGCCTCCTGACGCCTCCTGTGACGAACGGACAACAGACACCCATACCCATAGGGAGGTCGGAGGGAGAAGCACTGGCTATGGGTATGGGTGCGGGCTGTCGGACCCTGAGGAAGCTCCCGTTCGAGCGGGGACCCCTATCCGACAACACGCACCCATAGCTCATTCCGTCTCCCCTATGGGTATGGGTGCGTGTTGATCGTTCGTCATCCTGGGGCCTCCTGGGGCCTCCTGGACCTGTGGAGCCTCCCGGGGGGGGATCCGTGCCCCGAGAGAGGTCCAGTCTATAGGAACCGACTTACAGTCGGGGCGTTGACCTAAGGAACTCTAAATAAGGAACGAGGCCCCTATTTTCCATACATCAAGCTTTGACTTCCCATCGGAAACCCAAGGAACACCTAAGGCAAGCTGCGAAACTATCAAGGAACACGGAGCCCCTCCCCAACGAAAAGGGTTCCTTCTTCAGGGCCCCGACTGTAAGCCACCTCGGATTGGAGCAGCATGAGATGGGCGATCCATAGGGGCACGCGTAACACACCAAAGACTCGTGCCCCAGGGGGGGCCCAATCCACAGAAGCATACGTCGAACACCCAGGAATGGACGCGTGTGATTATAAGGAGCACGAGTCTGAGTCTGAGTGGGTCTGAGTACGAGTGAGTCTGTCTACGAGTGGATATGATGGTGGGTGGGTCTGCGTGTGAGTGATTCTGAGTGTGAGCATATCTGAATGTGAGTGTATCTGCGCCTGAGTAGGATGAGTATGACACTGAATATGAGTGAGTCTGAGTACGAGCGAGTCTGACTACAAGTGAGTCTGAGGGCGCGTGGGTCTGAGCGTGGGTGAGTCTGAGTGTGCGCAAGTCTGGGCGTGAGTGACTCTGGATCTGAGCATGGAGGAAACGAGTCTGAATATGAGTGAGTCTGAGCACGGGTGAGTTTGAACATAACTGAGTCTGTGACATCCTCAAAATCTGGCCCACATGGGGTGCGAGCGCCCGCGCCTCGCATCCTCATACTCTGCTCTGGACGCAGGCGAGGCTGGTCAGCAACACAAGCAGCCCGCTCGAGGTATCCTCGCAATATGTGCCCCCCAAAGATGCGAACACCAACGCCTCGACCGAGACGTCCTCATAATCTTTTCGAAAACGGAGGATGTTGGGAACCAAAACAACCACACCGCTCGAACCATACCCAACATCTGGGCGCGACCGGAAACGTGAGATACCCCCTGCCCCCCCCCCCTTTGGGGGTGAACACCAACTCCTCGCTCGAGGCATCCTCAACATCGGCTCCGAAAGTGGAAGATGTTGAACACCACAACATCTCCACGCTCAAGACATCCCCGCCATTGTGGCGCGAACGGGGGATTGATATACCTCCTGGCGGCTCCCCCTTGGGGGTGCTGAAACCCGCGCCTCGCTCGATACATCCTCATACTTTGCTCCGCCATCATCATCATCATCATCATCATCAGCAGCAGCATCATCATCAGCATCGTCATCATCATGGTCATCGGCATCATCATCATCCTCACAACTATCATCATCACCAGCACTGCCATCATCATCATCATCATCATCATCATCAGCATCATCATCATCATCACCATCATATCATACCATAACACATTATACCATACCGTACCATCATATAACAACACACGCCGCACCATACCGTAGCATGCCAAACAATACCATTTCATATCACACCATGCCATATCATTACATAACGCAGCACGCCGTACAATAACAATACATGTCATAGCATATCAGACCATATCATCATTCACTGCGTGGAGATCCCCGTATGTGCATCGATGAGCGTCCAAGCGCAAGAGTTTCCGAACGCAAACGGGTTTGAGTAGTGACGGTCTGGGAGTGGGTCTAACTGTGAATGAATTGGAGTGTGAATGGGTCTCAATGGTATTAGTGCGTCTCTGCGCATGAGCCTGGGGCCTTCTGAGGCCTCTTGAAACCTCATGGGGCTTGTGGGGTCTCCTGGAGCCTCTTGGGGTCTTCTGGGGCCTCCTGGAGCTTCCTGTGGCCTTCTGAAGCTTCCTGGGGCCTCGTGTGGCCTCCTGGAGCCTCCTGGGGCCTCGTGTGGACTCCTGGAAAGGATTCGTGCCCCAGGAGAGGCCCAGTCTA